GTTCCGGCAATCTCCCGACCACTTTGTAATTATTATTTTTTTATCTAGTCTTACTTCTTTACCTTTTAAACAAAAAGTATAAACAACCTGTTAAGTTAAAAAAATACCTTGTTAAATTTTTTTTTTTTTGGTACTCTATTGTGTTTATAGATTAATTTAGATAGAATATTGAAAACTTTACATTTATTTGTTTAATTAATGATGTGGCAGTTCTCTTATGCTAGTTAAATCTTCTATGCCACTGAATAATTTTTTAAATACTTTTTTATATATACTTTGCAACAATTTATTTATAATTATCTTTAAGTATCTTGTAAGGTTTATTGCTATTGCAAATAGGGGCTTAAAATGACAAAAATATTTTCTATTTGGCTGTCTTCTCAATAGAAAATGCTATTCAATGTTGTATATTTATCACATTTTTTGCAAATGTGGGGACTTCATTATTAATTCTAAGAGATTTCATTGATAACTTCTGGTCAAGATAGTGGCATAGGTAAATGCAGTGCTAGAATCCTCCCACAACCACATCAAAATTACAACTAAACTACAGAACAAACACCATTCAGGACCAACTGCAATCTGGCTAAATGGAAGTCCTACAAATAGGGATTTAAAGAAGCCGCATGGAGACTGGTAGGAGGGGCAGAGACACAGAATGGGCTGGTCACATACCCACATGTGATGGATCAAAATTGGGAAGGATATCTCCACTGTGGAAGTTCCCTGACAAGAGAGGCGCTTCAGCCTAGGATTCCAGTGCCAAGAAGAGAAGTTTCTATGACTTCTGGCTATGAAAACAGCAGGGATTGTGGCTGAGTGAGACAGAGGCCTTCCAAAGTCCCAAAAAGGTTCTCTTAAAGGGCCCATGCACAAACTTATTCAGACTCACTGGTTCTGAACTCCAGCAGTCGGGCAACAGCTTGAAAATCACCAGATACATATAGGGAGGAACTGAATTGTCTGGCATTGGAACAAGACTTGTCGGGCAGCTTTCTGCCAGACAGGAGTGCTTGCAAAGGCCACTGTTCCTTTTCTGAGAACCCTTCCACAGAGCCAGTAGGCAGGCACCATATCTGAATCTCCATCAATCTGTCTCACACTCTTTGCCCTGCTCTGGTGATTCCCTGGCACCTTGCCCCACCCAAATTACAGGACAACCTGAGCTGTTTCCAATGGCCTTTCCATACAAATGGCCTCTTCTGTCTCACATTTTAGATCTTCCTAAAATCTCTCAAACAAGCAGCATCAGGCCTCTGTGTACCTATACCACTTTCTGTGAGGGCCCAGGCCTAGCACAAGCAGCAGCTGGCCTTGGTTCACAGCATGACTTTTTCTGAGCTCCTCCAAGCTCAGCACAATTAACAGACATCTGTAGATTTCTTTGTAGCTCATACGAGGTGGCCCAAAGCAGAGCCCAGGGGGTCACTGACCTTACACCTCCACGGAGGCCCCAGAGCCAGTATACCCAATGGACAGCTTCAGACCACACTGGATTAAAACCCTATCAACTCCACAAGTGACATACTCTAAAGGTGGACTTGGAAAGAATCAAAGCAAGTCCTGCTCTGTAGTGGCATCTGGTCCTTGCAGGGGAAGCCAACCGTAATCAAGGTTCAACGACAATAGAATAGTACAAACAGCACAAACAGGGGTGCACTGGAGCAACCACTTGGATGACTGTGGAGGCTGTGCTATTGGGCCCAATGAGACACCTAATTCACAAGGTCACTCTACCAAGTCCAGGAGATGTAGCAGGTTTACCTAATACATACAAACAAACCTAGAGAAGCAGCCAAAATGTGAAGACAAAAACAGGTCTCAAATTAAAAAACAAAACAGAAATCTCCAGAAAAAGAACTAAACAAAATGGAGGCCAAGAAACTACCAGATATAGAGTTCAAAACAATGGTTATAAGGATGCTCAAGAAAATTAGTGAGAACTTTAAGGAACTTAGTAAGAACTTCAACCACATGAAAAAAAAAAAAAATAGAAACCATAAAAGAAAAAGTCTGAAATGAAGGATATACTAATTGAAATGAAGACTAATTTATAGGGAATCAAAAGTAAAGTAGATGACACCAAGGATCAAATCAGCAATTTGGAATATGAAGAAGTAAAATACACCTTATCAAAACAGCAAAAGAAAGAAAAGAACCCAAACTATGAAGGGAGTGTAAGAAACATCTGGGGCGACTTCAGGTGTACCAACATTCACATCATGGGGGTGCAGATGGAGAAGAGAAAAAAAAACATGAATTAAAAACTTATTTGAAAAATAAATGACAGAAACATTTTTTAACCTGGTAAAAGAAAGGAACATACAAGTCCAGGAAGTCCAGAGAGTTCCAAACAGGATGAACCAAAAGAGGCCTAGACCAAAATACATAAAAATTAAAATGACAAAAGTTAAAGACAAAGAGAGAATCTTAAAAACAGCAACAGACAAGCAGTTAGTGACCTACAAGGAAGCTCCCATAAGACTATCACTAGATTACTCAACAGAAAGTTAGTAGATCAGAAAGGATTGGCAAGAAATGTTCAAAGTGATGAATATTATGTGACAACCAAGATTATGCTACCCAGAAAATCTGTCATTTAGAATTGAAGGGTAGAAAGGGCTTTCCAAATAAGAAAAAGCTAAAGGAGTTCATCACCACCAAACCAGTATTACGTGAAATGTTAAAGGGTCTTCTATAAGAAGAAGAAGAAGAAAAAAATTTAAAAAATTTGAACAAGTGTGGCCAGTGTGGTTCAGTGGTTGAGCATCAACCCATGCACCAAGAGGTTGCTGGTTCAATTCCCCTGGTTAGGACGCATGCCAGGGTAGTGGGCCCTATCCACATTGGAGGGCATGCAGGAGGCAGCCAATCAATAATCTCTCATCAATGTTTCTATCTCTTTCTCCCTCTCTCTTCCTTTCTTTCTAAAAATCAATGAAGGAAAAATTTTTTTTTTAAATCTGGTCAATAAAATAGCAATAAATACATATCTATAAATAGTTGACTCTACAAACACAAAATAAATGAACAAACAGAACAAAAACTGACTCATAGATACAGAGAAGATTTTGATAGTTTCCAAATGGGAGGGGACTTGGGGATGGATGAAAAAGGTCAAGTGATTAGGACGTACAAATCAATTGTTATTGAAGAGTCACAAGTACGTAAAGTACAGCATACAGAATATAGTCAACAATATTCTAATAACAATGCATGGTGTCATATGGCTAAGATATTTATTGGGATGATCACTTAGTAAGTTATATAATGTCTAATCACTGGCATGTACACCTGAAATTAAAATTATATTTCAACTGTAATTTTAAATTTTTTAAAATTATTTCAAATAAAAAAGAGATTTCAATGAATCAAATTATATTTTCCAGGAATAATGGTGATATTTTTTCTTGTGCTCCAAATATTTTCTACTTCTGGTTTTATTTTCTTGAAAACCTAGTGTACAATTTAATAGAATGATGTTTGACTTTTTTAAAATTTAAAGATAATACTGTAATATTTCTGCACAGGAAGGTATATATATTTTTTCATATTGTTTTTTCTTTATTTCTATTTTACTATTAAGCTTTTATAGAAACATGCTTTTAAATTAAGGAATTGCTTTTCTTCCTTTTTTTCCTAAGGTTTCACTTAAAAATCACCAGTGAATTGTGAATATTATTAAATGCCTTTCTGGACATCTAAAAAAAAAATCACACTTTATTCTTTAATATCTTAATTTGAAAAATACTATCATAAACATTTCTATTATTCAACTCTAACTATATTCCCAGAGTAAATACAAGCTGAATAAAAAATAATTATTATAACACATATGGCTGGATTTGATTTGCTAACACACTATTTAGAGTGTTTATGAGCAATCAGCTTATGTTTTTTAACTTTGCCTCCACTTCTCTAGTTTGGTATGAGTTTTCTACTGACCACATAAAATAACTTAAAAAGGTTATTTCCCTTTTTGTTACCTGGACGTATATATATAAAGTAGAATACTTCACTTTCTTAGAAGTTTTGTAAAACATTTTTTTACAACCATTGTGTCTGTTTATTTTGAAACAGGTAGATATAACAAAATGTTTAATGTTTATTGATACATTTTACTTATTATTTATTCATGAATCAATTTTGATAATTTACTTTTTCTAGAATTTTATCTATATTGTATATGACTGTATCATGATTTTTCTGTATTTGTTTATTTGTATTTGTGATAGCTTTTGATCTCTGATATTGTCTTTGTGCCAACCCTAATAGTTCACACTCAATCTTACTGAATGTCTGCTATTTTTTTAAAAGACCAATTTTTGCTGACTTTTGTCTCATTAACATCTCATTGATTTTTGTTTTTTAATATTTATTATTGCATTTTCTATTTTATTATTAGTTTCGTATTTTTCTGGCTCCTCAGGTTCAGTGCTTAGTTTATACTTTTTTATCTTTCTTGTTTTTGTATGTGTTTGTATACAACTAGTGTATGTATATGCAATATAAATATATGTGTTTGTGCATGTGTGTGTTTTTTTTTCAAACTGTGCAATGATGTGTGAAAATCTTGGTTATTGGGTTTTTAATATTATCACACAGTGGTAGAATGAAGTCTCTATAATATGTATTTTTGGATCTTTATGATATGTCTCATATTTCCACATAGACAAACCAAGTAAAGAAATATAAACAGCATCATTCTTCGTAGTGTTTGTTAACTTTTACAATTCAAAATTCAGTTAAACTTTATAATTCAGAACCCTAATAATTTCTGTTTTTCATTGCTTTGGAAAGGCAATGCAGAGCCATGATTAAGAACTCAGATTCCAGAGCAAGTCCTGTTGAGTTCAAATCCTGCTATGTCCACCTACGAACTGTGTGACTTTGGGCTTATGAGTCATGAGCTAGAAAATCCAGTTAGCGTTCTCCACTCACTTTTACTCACCTATCATTTTAATTTAAATTCTCTTCTTTATTATAAAGGACTCAAAGATGCAGTTTATTTGTTTTTATTTTTATTTAAATACAAAAGGTTAAATATGTGTGCCAAACTGGTAAAGTTGCTTCTCAAAGTTGATAGAGGAGGCAGGACTGCCGGTCATTTTCTGAAGAAGAAAAAAACACAAGGTGAAGATAGTAATTCCCAGAAGCCTTCAATCCAGCTATTACCATATTTGCTTATTCATCCTTTTCCATGTGTTTTTGCCACTTCTCTTGGCTTCTAACTGTGACCCTTGTAGAATATTCACAGAAAGTACTCAGGGTGATCTTTGTAACATCTGATTAGATGATCTCACGTCTCTGTTCAAAAGCACTCAAAGGTTTCCTATGTACTCAGGATAAACATTTTAGAACATTTACCCTGTAATCACCAAGGTCCATGTGATAAGGCTTTTCCCCGTTTTCATGAATTTGTCTTTGGCATTTTCCCCACTCTCATTCTCCTCCTGCCCCCTGCCTTTGGCAAACAAGCTGAGCACCTTTCTGCTCAGGGCATCTCTGCTGGCTGGTCCCTGTGCTGGAACAATCTTTCTGCACAGACGCACAAGGCTCAGTGGCCCACTCTGTCTACACTGTGTTCTGATTTCATTATTTTATCACTTCAAGGAAGTCTTTCCTGAATAATCTATCTGTTTTGGTACAACCCCCATCTCTTTTATCCCTTTAATTTTCTTTAGTTTCTTCTTAGCTCTTATCACTCTCCAACATATATTTACCTATGTACTTAGAATCTGTCTCTACTCACTAGAGTGTGAGCTTTCTGAGAGCAAGGACTTTATTTATTTTGTACACTAGTATATCCCAAGATTCAAGAACAGATCTTAGAACATAGTAAGCACTTGATAAATATTAGTCAAATAGTTCAATTCCTAAATGTGGCTCTATTGGACTAATTAGGCAGTAAGAGCTATTCTGATGAAGTAGCTACACAATTATGCAACCAGGGAGTCACAAGCCAGGGGTAGAAGATAGTAGATAAAGATTTCAAGTATTGAGATAAACTTTACTATAAAATATAATTTTAATTATGAGGCTGAGAGGGAACTTGATAATATACTTCTACTACAGTGTGATATAAAGCTGTTATAAATGAGGAAAATAATTATTGGAACTAAACTCGGTGGGACCATTATCAATATATTTATTTTTTAAGATGTGTGTCAACATGGGTGCTTGAAGGGATTTCTGAGCAGTAATTAAGGATCTGAGAGCAGACACAGAGTATTCTGTGATCTACATTGTGAGGACAGTCAGAGAGCCAGAGTCCGCCCCAACACAAAAACTGCAGTCCAAGATCACGTTTATACTGTCTGGTAATGGGAGTTCAATGTCAGCAATGTGACATCTGCCCTCAAGGGATCGATGAACTGCTTCCTTCACAGTCATCTGTTCTGTTGTCTGTTTTTTTTCAGAATCTGAGACAATGTTGGATAATTCATTATCTGTGTGTGTGTGTGTGTGTGTGTGTGTGTGTGTGTGTGAAAGAGAGAGAATAATGGAAGCATGAGTACATTTCTGTTTTATTAATTGTTACCCTGTGTCCTTCATTGTTTATTACTTCTTGTGTTAGCCTGGTTTATCTCCTTGATTGGCTGACTGACTGATTTATTGATTGTGGATCCCGATTCATATAAGTAGAGCAAAAAATAGCATCTAATTATCAAATACATCAACAAGCAACATAAATTTGACCACTCAAGCAATTGGTTGCCATTGGTCATTGGACCTCACCACTAATATTACTTTCCCGTAATATTGCCAAAAGCTCTGATACGTACCTTTTCAGTTGCCAGGAAATAGGTAGAAATATCTTGACAGGGATACTCGTTCAGTGGTGGGCATCTGGGCTCTAACATGTGGTGTTTCAAATGATAGTTGTACCTAGAAACAAAAAGAGCATCTGATGAAACATAACTCTGATTCACTCTCAGAAAACATGTTGTACCATGAGCCAAAAAATTCTGGGAATGAAGGGTATGCCTAGAGCTGATGGGACGAAGCCCATGGATATTCTAACCACCTGTCACTGCTACCCTACCTTTTAGAAGTAATGCCCCATGTCAGAATATATACAGTCTTTATTTCAACACCTCATGCCTAACTCAAAGTCTTTCAAAGTTCATTTCTTCTATTTTCTGTTCCTGATCTACAGATATAAACTGATCTATGAGGGTCAGTTCATAACAATGGGATCTCAAAGATTCTCTATCTTTAACTTCCAAGTCTAACTCCTTAATTCTGTAAGGCACAAATCCAAAATTTTATCCCTCAGACTTGAACACAACAACTTTCACACTCCCACTACCAAGCTGACCTCTGAAGTTTTTTTGCCACTGACAGATAAATGAGATTGTATTGAATCTGTTGATAGTTATTAAGAATAAGAAAGGAGCAAAGGAAGAAGGCCAGACATTATAGGCATACCATTTGGGCAGCTTCACCAGGAAGCTGCAATGTCACACTCCACAGGGAACCACTGGCCCATTCCCTGCAGAGCACTGGGTGGGGGATCCAACAAACAGGAGATGAACATATGTATAATGAGCTGGAGTGACACAGAAAAAGTGCCTGTCATTCAAGCCAGGGGAACAATGGTTTAACTACAGTAGGCCGGGCCTTTGCAGACCCATGAAAATTTGGGAATACCTAGTCCTGCAGATAAAGGAGCTCGCACTCTTGCATGGCCATCTTGGCTCTCTGGTTCCTTTGGCTTTGCTCCTGTCCCTGTTCTCTCCATGGCCCATGGCCATGCGGACCCCACATGCAATGGACTGACGGACTCAAGCAGGGAACACAAGTTCAGTTAGCCTGATGCTGTATTAGACTGTGGAGACATAGAACAGAAATTATGGACACTGGCTTTGATTTTAGCTCTGCTGAAAACAAAATGGGACTTCTTCCTTGGAAGGACAAAGAGAAATGGGACCTTGAAACTGAGGGGCATAATTCCACAGAAATAAAGCTTTCTACAATATCTCATCCTTCTATGAAAGTCTCTGAAAATACCTTTCACAAAATATTGCAGCAACTGTTGAAGATGAGGACCTCTCCCCAACAATAATACTATTTCTAGGCTTATCCTAGAAAGTAAAATATCTCATTCCTATTCATCCAACAGAATTTAGTTTCCTAAATTCCCATTCACAGAGACCCTAACTCATGTTACAATGCAATATTCTTCCATTTATTAAAGGTGTATTTCTCTTTTCTCACAGGAGTGCTGCTGCTCTCTGTAGTTTAAACATAAAAACAACCACACTTTCCCATATTCTTAATACAACACCTTTCTCCCTTAAGAAAATGACCAAAAGGAATATCTGTTCATTTATTCATGAATGTACTTATTAAATGAATAGTATTTTCTAAGTGCCAGCATGTTGAGGTATCGAGCAAATTCTTGCCTTCAAATGAGTGAATGCAGATAAAAATCAAACAAAATATATAACAAACAAGTGGTGGTCAAACTGTGGAGAAAAACAAGTTAGGAGGGATGAGGCCTATCTTAAGTGGGGAAATAAATATCTTTTTTTCTGGACTACTCCACTCAAAAAATGTCTTCTCCTGTGTTTTCCTTCATTTGCCTTTGATCTTTTTTGACCCTCCCGAAGTCTGTAATGACAGATATGTTTGTTGGCCGACTTGTTTAGGATCCATCTCTCCCACAACAATGTAGGCCTCGGCAGCCTATGACACAGTGTCGCTTCTAACCTGTGCCGCCAGGATGGCAACAATCACCAAGTAAAACACCCAATATACATGTATTTAATAAATTAAGCAATACAAATGAATTCAAAATACTTTTTATTCTTTAAATTTTAAGTATTTATAGCCCATAACAAGTAAGCTCACATATTATATTATTTAGTTCTATTTTCATTTTCTGAGGTAGTATATTGACATCTTCCTTTTCTAAATCATATTTTAAACCCCTGGATAACAGAAACCGGGAACTGCTCTACTTTTGTTTGCCTGAAAAAGTCTGTCATTGTCACTTGAAATAAGAATAATAGTAAAGTCTTCCTGAACTAAAAAAAAAATATATATATATGTTGTTAGAAAAGGAAAAAGAAGCTTACCTTTCGAAATACTTCCTCTAGGTGACAATGCCAAGAGTATTTTTGGAAGCATGTGATTAGTTGTGTAATGAAGAGAGAACCCTTAGTTCTGTCTCTCCAGGATACATTATCTGTGAAGATAAGGAGTGTAAGCCTTGGGCTGTGGCCTTAACTATTCTTTTATTATACTTTTGTTGTATATATATATATATATATATATATATAAAGCAGAGCTTGGGCATTAACTTGACATGTTTAGGGGAAACACTTATATCTCTAAATGTTCCACAAAGGTCTAACTATAGGGATAACTCATCAGAATTGCATAATGATCGTATTATATTCTTGGAAATAATTTTGCTACATGCCTCAGGTTTACTCACTTGGCTTTGATAAAAGATTTGAGAGATAACAGAAATTATCCCATTTTACAGAAGAAAGAATAAACACTCAGGGAGTTCCAAGAATTTCTCCAAGCTCATAGAGTAAGCAACAAAACTTGGCCACCTGGCCCCAAGGTTGTTACAGAGTATATATCATACTGCCTTTCACAATATAATAAACATAGCAGATGAACAAATTCAAAGGCAACTTTCAGGGGAGGGATAGGTTTATGGCATTAATTGTGGTGATGGTTTTACAGTTTCATATTCATATGCAAACTCACATTATATACATTAAGTATATACCTTCTTGTATATCAATTTAACCTCCATGAAGTGGTTAAAAAAAAAAAAAAAAAAAAGACTTAACACAAAAATTTGCAAATTAGAAAAAATCAAATTAAGTTTTCTTAAGATACTACCTAAAGGTCAAGAACTAAATACTGATCTCCTATTAGGCCTAATATGTCCCATCGTATCATTTTCTACCTCTTTTAAAGGACATCTGCATCCTGCTGAACCACACAATGCACCACTCTAAATAGCATCACGTGTAAATATGCAGAAAAAGGCTTGAACTTGATTATTTAAGAAAGAACAGCCAGTCCGGGATCCATAAAAATTCTATTCAAAATGTTAAGCAGATTTGATAGAAAATTGAGTCAATTATTTGTTAATAAATGGTGTATGGTAAACAGGGTTTCTTGTATTGGATTGTTTTAATATTTGGTATATATTTGTCAAGTGAAGCACTTAGAATAAAAGTACAATTTTAAAGAATAAAAAAAATATAAAATATTTGTTTCCATAGACTAAATGTGATAAATGTAAATTATTTTGACAGCAATCAAAACGTGTCTCAGACCACTGCTGCAGAGAGCCTATCTTAATGTTCTAGAATCATTCAGAGGTGGCCTCAGGCCCACACACTCTCGTCTGTAACTGAAAGACACCTACGCGGGGTTGAGGAGCAGAAAGCAATGAAGTCCTTCTCCACGTGAGCTTTGTAAACAGCATCGTCCTCCAGGATCTCAGGTGACTGTGAAGAGTTGTCTGCCACGGGTGCTGGAGAGTCACTGACCCACAGTTCCCCGCGATTTGCTGTAGAGACATTAACTTAGTACACACTGTGTACCTCCCTCAGGATGACTGTCACAGTTGCCCGCCTCATTCTTTTTTAATGTTTATTCTCACTAGTTCCACACACAATCACACAAATACACGCACGCACGTGCGCACACACACACGCAGACACGCATTAAACCCTTCCCCCACACACATAACTCGGCCTCTCTCTAGTGTCATTGAAAAATGTGCCATTTAATAGTGACAGCATCTTATCAGTAAATAGGACAATGTTGTAACACTGGAAGACCCATTTGCAAAGAAGAGCATGGGAGTTAAAGTCTTATCTGAGTAATTTCAGAGCCTAGTTACCATTTTTTAGCTAAGTTATTTTTGCTCTTTCTTCCAAACACTGCTGCAACAAGCTAAGAGGCAATTGGAAGTCAGAAGAAAAATTCAAAGGAAATTTTGACAGAATCCTAAGTACCCTCATCTCCCTCCTCATTTCCCCTTCAATAATGCATGCGGAAAAAAGGGTGCCACTATTGCAGAACAGCCCCACTTTAGATGAAATTCTCCGCAAGCCAGAGAATGTCAAAATGTCTGTAAAACATTGTCAAGTAAAGCTGTCATTAAAGTGATTTGACTCCAAAGTTTAAATATTCTTGTTCAACTTCGATTTAGAAATTCTGAAGATCTCCTTCACTACTTACCTTGTTTTTAATCAGATCAATATTTCTTATCTAAAAAACAATTTTTCATAATACCAACCTCGTACCTGGAGTTTCCCGAGAATTCAATTTACTATTTTCACTGAATTTTGCACTAAGATTTTTTCCTCTAAAAACAAAAACATGTCACAAACCTCGGCAAACACATTCCCTTTGGATTTTTCACGTCGGAACTCACCACCTCGGCAGGCCTGGACAATGATGACCTTAGGCTTGTCCTTGAGACTGAGGCAATTTCGGTTGTTGAATATCCGGAAGATGGTGTCATAAGGTAGCACATCTGGCTTCTCATCACTATGCTGAGTCCCACAGATTCCATCCAAGATGCCATGAGACATAAACACTAGGAATGTGCTGTCTGAGGACCTGTGCTCTGGGCGGGCAGCAAATGCCTCCAGCACTGACTCCATGTCCTGAAAAAGACCACAAAGTCTTACTTTAATAGGACCAAGACTGACATTAATCGACCTCCTATTTATCATGAGCAGTACAAGTAACATGTGTCATGTTCCAATCACTGCGCCTTCCTGTCGTGGTTGCTCGATTCTGGCCGTTGCCTTCTCCTTCCCACAGCAGAGCAGGGGCTTCCGTCGGCTCCTGCTGACACTGCCGAACCACCTCTTGTATATTTCACAACTGCTTATTTGAACTTACATACTTTTCTATATAGCTCTGTCTTTTATCTCAGTACTTAATAGGAGCCTTCAAAAACCCTTCTTACTGTGCTTAGAATAAAACTCCTGACATATGTATACGGTCTCTTCCCTCCTCCCTCCCTGTGGGCTCTAGTCACACTGGTCTCTCTGTATTTCCCATGTGCCCGCTTCATATTCAGTTCAGGTCTTTCATCTGCAGTCATCACTCTTGGAATGTATTTTATTCACCTATTTCCAGACTTGTCTTGTTACTGGCAGTCATCTGTCAGCTCCTCTGTCCCTAACAAGGCTCTTCTTGACCATTCCATCAAAACAATTACTCCACACTCACCAATTTGCTCTTATGTTTTCTTTTACTTGTTTCACTTTCTTTTCACTCTTACTGAGAGGCACAAAGACACACCATATCTCTGAAATTTTCTGTTTTGCTTTTAATGTGATTGTCCTTGCTCCCCCCACCAGCAAATCTAAATCAATGCCAGCTTGGAACATCCAGTCTCATTCACAGTCCTACCCCCAGTGCCAAAAATAGGCCCTGGGACAAACCAGGACTCAGTATTTATATGGCGAGTACATGCTTTGAAAACATTCATTACATTAGAATTTTCTGGGAATATTGGGTCTGAATCCTAATCATCTTTGAAACTAAAAATTGTGTGGGTATACGTGCCATCACTTTTTGTCCAGTTTTATGGAATTGAGGACATTTGGAGCTCAAAAAAGACTGATTTCACCTATCTGATCATTTCATTTTATAAACACACACACACACACACACACACACACACACGTGGCCTCAGGTTGAAAGTATTCGGCTAACATTACAAAATTAATTTGTTGGGAGGAGAGGACGTGTGTCAAACACGACCATGTTTGGGGTGGGGCACACCTTGGCTGTGAGCTTCTCTTCCACAGTCACATTGTAGTCCAGGCCCACAAGCAGCTCCGTCATCCTTGTGATGTCAAGCTCAGCTCCCTCCCTGGCCGGAAGGTGATCAAACTCTCTATTGCAAATGATGAGAGCCAGGCGAGTGCGGCCCATTCTGTCCTTTATTGGATAGATCTGCAGGAAATGGACACGCAGTGAGTTTGATTTGCCTAAATATCTTTCAAACCTTCATATACTAGTCACTGTTGCTTTGTTACAGGCTCATAGCGCTGCCCTCTCCCCTCTCCTGTGCCAGAGATCCTGCCTTTTTCTTTGTAATGGAGTGAATGGACACGAGAAGGAAGTGAGAATTGAAAGTGATCGAGGATCGTCAGATTACTTAAAAAAATTACTCTGAAAAAAAAAGAAAAGAAAGAATGTGTTTATTTTCAAGACCCCAGGACTAGACCCAGAACATACTTGCTCAAGAATCTTGAGACTAAAACACTTTCTTCCCTAATGTTCTCTTTTCTCTTCTTGGCCGAAACAAATGTTTCTCGGTATTCCAGGTTCAGATCAAATTTCGTAAAAAACTGCTAAATATAAATACATCCACGATCCTTTGTCTTTGGTAACATCAATATTTCAGTATCGTTTTTAACATATTAATACATAATGTGTTTTCAGGCTTTATTATATTTTCAAAGCTAATTTCCTGTGTAAGCTTTTCATGTGGAATTCAAATAATTATTACTCAGCCACGTTATCTTATACATATTTTGGTTCTAGGACTACGGCTTAACTGTAATAAGTCCCAGATAGGAGAACAAATAAATAAAGTGTGGGATCTATTGTTATCATGGGGCAGAATGGGACCTGCCCTCTGTGTGAGGCTGGGTGATTTCCTCTGGCTCCTAGCATCTCTGGGAAGGATGACCGCTGTCCCACCCACCTCTCTGCACTTAGTGCTTTAAGCAATTGTGCATTTAGTGTTGTTTCTCTTTTTCTGTTTTACAGACAGAACATAGTAAGTACCTCTCCAGCCATTTCTTTCTGTAGTTTCAGAAATTCTTCATGAGGACAAAGCTTGAGGGTATCTGTAGTTTGTGCTGATTCAGCAGGTTCAGCCACTTCTGTAGAAATTGCAAGACACATCACATGAGCTCACATGATATAAATATTAACATCTGTATCTGTGACCCAATTATCACCTAAGAATATTGACAGAGAAGGTGAATCAGGAGGAGGTTTTCAAAGATTTTTTGTGGGAACTATAGCTGTATCTGTCCTCTAGTATGAAGAGGTGTGTTGTGCTGAGAAAGAGGGAGAAACCCTTAGTAGCAGATCCGTCCAAACCTAATAATAGATTGTGATTATTATGAGAAAACACCTTCCTTGGTGACTTGGGTCAAAATTAGCTTTTTAACATTCCACTAAAACAGTTTGAGTTTTGCCATTTTTTACTCTAGAGTACTCCCTCATCGAAGTGGACTTCTTGTCAGTGAGCAAGAGAATACTGAGTACACATATATCAGAGTGCTATTCGTTAGAAATATAATCAAGTCACATGTGCAATTAAATTTTTTCTGATGTCCACATTAAAAAAGGAAAAAGAAACAGGTGACATTCATTTAAATAATGTTTCATTTAACATAATATATTCAAACTATTATCATTTCAACATGCTTACTAGCCACAATTCAAGCCTCAGTAGTCACAATGTGGCTGGCAGCTATCAAATTGAATGCTGTAACATCCAAGTCTGCTCCTAACTCACACTGAACATAGCCATACACACACTAGACACCTAATGGACTCCTGGGTCCTGTACCATCCAGGTAGCATTTTTTCAGCAACCTCAGCCTGAAGTCTCAAGTTACCCAGAGGAGATGGGCTTCTGCAAGTCCTCGCCAAGTTGTTCAGTCTGCCGTCTCACGGAGAAATGCTGTCTCGCAACCAGAGGGCTAATTCCAGGGTCAGAGGGACAGTATTTTGCTCAGAGAGGTTAACATACACTGGATGTCCTTGCCTCCAAAGTGCTGATCAACCAGCACTAAATTTTCAACCCATGTTTTGAAATGTGAAGTAATAACTCCTCCCTGTTGGAGGCTTTGTTTCTGACTCACCCTTACCCAGTCCTCATAGAAACATAATCTTATCCAGCACAGCTTGACCTCACGTGACAGATGTTGCAAGAGACTCGGAAAGTCCAGAGCCTTCTGCTGTATGAGGAAGGAAGAAAACTTCACAAACAATAGGAAGAAACGTTTACCAAGATCTAATTGACAAGGTTTTTGTCCATGATAGTAGTAATAAACCTTGTTTAGTTACATGAACCACACAGGGCAATCTCTCATTTTGTTTTGTTTAAAGGAAATAAGCAATATTATCCTGTATAAAATGTTTCAGTTTTTATACTTTATATATTTTTTCTAATTTACTCATTTATTTTCATTAGTTTTTTTCCATAATATTTTTTTTGACAAATGTCTTTCTAATACATAGGCTAACAACATAAGGCCTGGAGGTGCAGAAAATGATAGGTCTTTAAGAAAACCAAACTTTCTGAACACTTTTTTTTTGTATAGATTGAACAGGGACTTTTTCTTCCTTTTTATTCCAGAAGTTTCTGGCAATATAAAGACACCCAGGGTCCTGGGATCTTCCCTCGTTAGAGAGTCTGTGTCTCATCAAAACCTCCTGTTTCCAGTTTATTTACAAGCTTGGTGAACTCTCTGACTTAAGAAACATCATCTCCTAATGACCATTACATGTCTATAGATAGATATAGTATTTGCAGTAAAATTGAGAATTAATATTTTCATAATACAATTAGCATGAAAACAAATATTTCGTTACAGCATAATAGATATTTAGTGAAGCCTGCTGCCCAGGAGTTTCTAGCAGCCTGGCAATGCAGCTGAAAGAAATGAGAGAATTAGGAGTTTACATAAAACTTTTAATAACTCACTCTTATCTGTTGTCTAATGAAATATTCAGGAAGCCCCTTCAACTGGTACAAAAAGGAAGGGACTGGTACCAGGTGTGACAAAGCCATCTCCTTAGGTGAGTAGGAATTTGAGTACTGATCTCTCTGACTAAATAACAGTGCTTGGCACATGGTATGCATATATATAAGTTTTTTAAATAAACAAATAGTTTGTATTCTTTCTATCCTCCACACCATTGCCTTCAATATTATGCTAGGGACCCTCAGAATTGTATCCATGTCCAAAAGGCCTGGGCAGGACCTTTGCTTGTCCTCATAGCCCAACTTGCTCAGCTTCCTGGCTTGCTGGGCCAGTGCACCTTAGATCTCCCTGGAGTGTCCTTGTGCAGACAGAGCCCAGGGGTCCAGCGCACACATCATGACAGGGTCTATACCTGCCTCCTGTGTGCCACTGTCTCTGCTGGTACAGTAGTGTATCTCAGTTCGGTTTAATGCTCATTGTGATTCCTGAGGTTGCTAAAAGTATTTTACAGCACCCATTACTTCAAATCTGACTCCCATTTGCAAATCTTTTATTTTTGGAAAAACTAAACAAAAGCAATTGTTCCCATCTCATCCCAGATTCAATAGGAAATTATAAACCCACGCAGGGATTAGTTTAAATGTTAATAAGAACACAGCTTAGACCCTGACCAAGGACATCCATCAGACAAGCGTGTTCTTCCTGCTGGTGGGACTGTCCCTCCCAACTAGAGAAGGGCTTCTTAAAAAACTTTATGTGTCATAGAGATGACTCCATAATGTCTGTAGCCTTTTGTGTATTATTTTTTATTATTATTGGTAATCTCTAGTATGCAGGGTTGGTATTTCAGCTTAAACTCTGCAGCAGATAGGGTTTGCCATGGGTGATTTTGGGCCTGAGAACGTTTAGGCTCTAGTAATATTCACAATTCAATCTAGTTCAAAAGTTTTGAAAGATTTTAATATATTAGAAACATTGTAGGTATTCTACTGATCATATTGTATAACTTACAGAAGTGAGTAAGCACTGGAAAGTTCTAAATATTACAAACCAAATAATACTCAAGGTAACTAATATTACTGTACCAGATGAGACAACCCCCCCGCCCTTGGGTGGGTAGCAATACTTCCTGCATGCATGCTCTCTGTTTGTCTAGGCACTCATATTCATTATGTGCCTGATTTGCGCCTGGCACTCTGCTACTCATTAGCAAAGGAAACAGTTGCACTCTGGATTGAGGTAATCGGTGGATCATAGTTCTAATGGCATAGAAGTGGAAGAGATGTGATCAGGGGAATCAAGTGTGTAATTTCAGATGCCGTAGCTGTGCGAGTCCAGGGGAATGTCTGAGTGGAAATGTTGAACGTGCACTTAGAGCAACCTACATCTGGAGCTCAGGGAAGAGCCAGACGAGAGCTGAACCATGGGAGCGGTCAGCAGAGGCCTCCCATTGTGTTCTCAGCTTACAGACCCTGGGAGGTTACTAAAATTGTCCTCATTTCACAGATGCTGAGACTGATGCTTAAGGAGGTTCAGAAACCTGAAGGAAGTCACGTGTGCAGTATCCAAAGTGACAGAACCAGGGTTGGGATCAGTATCCCTAGTTACAAAGTGTACAATGAGCCACCTCAACACAAAGACCCACCTTCTTAGCGGGTTGGAAACTTAATCCTCTCTCACAAAGGACAAGGTTGCCCCTAAAATGACAGTGATGAGGTTAGTAAAAATAATATTTTCATCACTTAAAGACACTAGAGGAGCATTGGAGCTAAATAGATTCTGGGGAATTTGAGATACTTGTTGTGAGTCATTCCATTCTTACCTTCTGTGGGGGTGGAGTTCTTGTCCGTGTTAAGGAAGGTTTGGACCAGGACTTGACCGGCTATGTGGCGTTTCTGCCGGACAGCATCCACCAGCACCCAGGCTTTGTCTCCAGGTTTGGCGTCATTAAATTTTTTTTTTTCACTTTCCTCCAACTTCAGAACATCTCTTTTCACCAAATTATCCAAAAGTCCACCTAAGACTTCTTTACCAATAGATTCCAAAGCCTTAAGTGGGTTTTTGTCGCGTTCACCTTCTGTCAGAAATACAAAGAGTCCTTCATCTGTGGGCACAACTTAAAGAGTTTTGCCCTGTATTTAGAGAGCTCCCTGTGGTGTGAATACTTTTGAAATACCTCCTGACTAGTTCACCATTTCCCCAATAAGTACATACCTCTTTCATTATACCTGTGGAATTCCCTCAGCACCTCAAATATATACTAGGCTTTGTTTAATAATTCATTGCCACTTAAGATGTTTTGATAGTTTCTCATATCCTTTCGGTGACATTGAACTTAATGTCATCCACTCTTCTTATATGCCTCTTTCCATTTTTCTCCATCTCATAGTGATGATGATGATGATCCACCTGACATGTGTGCTCCAAGGGAAGTCCATGCTTTTGTGTATACTGTAAATCCTTCCCTCTAGACCATAGGATCTATTCTCTCATCTGAATTTAGTTTCCTTGGAGAAAGCACTATGCTTTTGAATCCACATTTTGTGTCCGCATCTCTTACCCACATTTCTGTGCTTAAAATCTTAAAAGTACGTGTAGGCTTCCTGAGTATATGAATGAATGAATGAATGAATGAATGAATGAATGAATACATCCAGGTTCCTAATACTTTAAAATCTTGTCTCAGTTAAAACTCAGAGTTGAAATAATCTGATGACTAATTTTTCAATATGGTAGACTAATTTGATACCAGGTCAATTTATTACTGTCTGAGATCATTTGAATTTTTATAGAGGAATACAGAAGTCAAAGTAATAACTTTTAAAAATACTGCAGGTATGATTTGGACATGTTTATATTGGAAGGCAGGATAGCACATCAATTCTCTGTTAATTCTAAGAGAACTATCAATCCATCTAGATGTAAGGATAGCCTTGACACAAAATGACACTTTCTAAAGAAAATGTGCCAGGAATTTGAACAAGAACTTGTGCCCAAAAACACCAGCCTCATTTTCCATGTTATCTTAAAGTATTCTTTCAATAAGTATTTATTTGGCAATGATTATGAGAAAGAAATATGAAAATTACAAAACATAAATTAAAAAGTACCTAATGGCAATTAACTTAATAACAGCTAACATTGCTTGCCCACTTATATTGATTGAAAAAGAAATACATATGAAGCAATTTAAATTATCATTATTATTGTTTTTTATGAGTCTCTGTGTTAAATACAAATATCAATATACCATACCCTCACAATAATTTAATGAAATATCCATTATATTTCCTATTTTATAGATCATTTGCCCCAAATCACACAACTTAGGATTCATATTCTGTTCTTACACACAGCTTCAGCAATAATAGTTATATTTATAGAGTCCCCACTGGTAACAAGTTCTATACATAAATCTTCTCACTTAAACTTTACTAAAACTCCATCTAACCTGTATATTAGTAATTTCATTATATTAAAAAACAAACAGACACAGAGAAGTTAGTTAAGTAATTGACCCACGGTGTGTATAGGAAGTGGGGAGAAGGGATTAAAACTCAGGGGTTCAGAGCCCCCACTCTTGTTTTTTATTCTAACAACTCTTTCTTTTCTGTAATTTGAAAATATACTTTAAAATTTTAAATTGATTTTAGAGAGAGAGAAAGGGAGAGGGAGAAGGAGAGATAGAAACATCGATGAGAGAGAACATCAATTGGCCACAGCCTGCATGCCCCCACTGGGAATTTGGCCCACAACCTGGGCATGTGCCCTGACCAGGAATTGAACCAGTGACCTCCTGGTGCATGAGTCAACACTCAACCAGTGAGCTACACCAGCCAGGCCAGAGCCCCCCACTCTTAAATCATCAAAATACATTACATGATACTTGCTGAAGAGTTAGTTAGAATAATGCTGTCCAGCCAGTGTGGCTCAACGGTTGAGCATCGACCTATGCACCAAGAGGTCGCTGGTTCAATTCCTGGTCAGGGCACATGCCCAGGCTGTGGGTCCAATCCCTGGTGAGTGGCATGTAGGAGGTGGCCAATAGATGTTTTCTCTCATTGATTTTCTATCTTTCTCCCTCTCCCTTCCTTTCTCTAACATCAATAAAGAAAAAATTAATAAACAAATAAAAGTTGTTTGATCTATTCATTTTTTATTCACCTGCTTTGTTCTCTATACAAGTAAATGCTATATAAACACCAAGTACATCAAACCAGCAAAACATGGTAATAATGAATCTTTTCTGCTTTCTAAGTAACTTATTTTTCATCTCAAATTATGTTGATTTTATCTGCCAGATATTTGCAGAATCTGACTACTTCTCTCATTTCTAATTGCACATTATTCCATTTCAGGCTAACATTCTTCCTTTTCTAGTTACTTTAAGAACCTTATAAATATACTTTCGACTCCTTCTAATCTATTATTTACAACAAAGCAATTAGTGTTCTAAAATCTAGATTTGATAATAAAACCTCTGAGCTTAATCTAATTCAGGTCTTCTCGTGCATTTCTCCTCTTCCACTTACCCACCTTGTTCGTTACATTCAGTTTCTAGAAAGCCCTTACTTAGGAATCTCTATGTGGGCAGTCTCCCACCCCCACATTTTTCCTGTTCCCTCACTGTTCCATTTATCCTTTAAATCTCAGATGGGAGGCCCTTCCTTCAGGAAATCCCACCTGATGATCTCCGACAAGACAGTGTCAGAGGTCTGTGCTACCAGACACCTTGTGTCTCACTAGGCTAGCACCTTTTTCCTTTCCGTTGTTAATTATTTACTAATGGCTAACTAAACTATCAAACTTGGTTGTTTAAATTTATTGGGCCATTTTACTTGTTTTCATCTCTTGTTTTTTAGTTTTCATATCTGTTATGTGATGATGCCCTGATTCCAATCCAATGGTCAGTGAGGCCATCCTGCCTGGTCAAAGGGGCGGCCTCAAGTGTGACTTCCACCTGCTACTTTCCCACCAAAAGCCATATGAGTGTCATGAAGAAGACAGAAAACAAACAAACAACCAATTCTTGTATTTTAGAAGCTTGAGTTAATGTCACGAGATGAGTCATAAATCCTGGAGAGAATTATACTACAGAGAGAATCAAAGAAATAAAAAATATATAAGAACAAGGAAGTATGAGTAGAGTAAATTCAGTAAATATACTTTTTCTGTAAAGCTGAATTAATATTTTAGAGGGATTAATGCATAAATCTATTTTGAAAGATAGGAAAACCTATCTGAAAAGTTTAGACATTTCTAAAGAGGCAGTAGGGAGCCACTGTAGTTCCTGAGTAACAAAATTACATGTATATTTACCTAGAATGTGAGAACATTTTTTCTAATGATTCTCATCCATAAACAAACCTGTGCCAGGCCAGCTACATAAGAATTATCTGCAGATCTTTATAAGGTTAGAAACGCTTACAGCCTATTTAAAATAGAGAAATTCAGGGTCAGAATAACCTGAATAGTCTAAATTTTAAAGAATGACTACAGATTATTCAGATTTGGTATAAAGTTTAGAAGCTGCTGATCTAGTTGACTTTTCTCCCTTTCAAATGAGGAAAATGAAAGTACAAAAAGGATGTGACATGTTTGGCTACTCGCTACATAAACAGCTAATGATTCCTCCTCATGTTTCTTCAGCTCCTGTGTATAAAAACAAGGACCTGAAAGTTGTGTGCAGAGTGGATTGGAGGGTTAAAATCTGGAGAGAGAGACCAGTTTAAAACCTATGATAGGAATCTAGGAAAAACTGCCGTAGAGTCCTTAGCACCAGGACTGGAGAGAAAGGGGGAAAAGGAGTCCCCTTAGAAAACCAAGTATGTAACTCAATGTAGGGGATGGCAAAACGGGTGGGAATTCAAAGGTTCACTTATGAGATTCTGGGAGTAGTGTTCATCCCCCAGATGACTCATTAGGAATCAACAGGAAGTGAGGAGATTTTGGAAGGCGTTTGGAATCTTCAAGGGTTTTCTCACGCAAACACCTAATTCTATTTGTCTTCGCCCTCCCCTTTACCATCATGAGCTGAAAGAAACTTTTCCTGGGTCTAAGCTGCCTGGAAACTGTACTTTCCTTCAGCCTCTCTAAGGCAATGTCCCCCAGACGATTAAGGTACAAAGAGCTAATAAGGGGAAGAATTCAGCTTGCAAACACGGGCTCTCCTTTTCCTTTATGACTTCTGATCGTCACAGAGCAATAAATCAAGTGCTTTCTAAGGTCCAGATCCCTGACCCTCACCAGATAAAGCCCCTACTCACCAGCCATAAGGGGCAAAGCCTCAGTTCCTTCTTGCGCCTGTAAAGTGAACCACAGACTTGAAAATGAAACTTTCTGGGCATTTCCTCAATGCTGGGGGCGGGGACATATCATGCATTGGGCAACTTCTGAGTTCACAGCTGCCCAGAAGTCCCTTGGAAAGAAAAGTTACTTTCTTTTAGAAGAAAAAAAGTGTAAATGGTGATGCATTTTCCTGTGAGCTGGCACTTTTTTCTCCTTTTTCTTCTCTCACTTCAGTGTCCCCACACCACCTCCTCTCTGTTCTTTTCCGGATCTCTCAGTATTTCTCCTCTGCTGGCCTGACAATCACGAACATGTTAAAACTAACAGGTGTCCTTTCATTTCCAGGTGAGAATTATTCAAAATAGTTTCTGTTTTCTCTGTCATCTGTGCTGGTATCATCCCTTCCTTGTCTCCCTGTCACTTTGAATTTTTATGGATAATTACACACTCTTCATGCCTTCCTCTGACTGCCTAAGTCTGCCTTTACCTTTAGTGTGTACTGAGGCTGGCTTCTCACTACCCTTTCTTGATACTCTGAATGAGCAGTGATAGTAGAGGCCATCTCAGGCTGTAGTAGAACAAATGCTTGGTCGTACAAAAGAGATGTGTATAGAAGAACAGTTAATGAGAAAAACAAAGACTGTGATATTCAACTTTGAAGATCTTCAAAGGTCAGAATTCACCTCCACTCCTACTGGGTTAGGATGAGACAAGGCTCATAATTGCAAGTGAAAGGGTAGTCTGCTAGTCCTTCCTAAGTCTAACATTTCCAAATGGAGGATTTCACCCCAAACTCATTACCACTGCATCACATGACGACATTACTTTGTAAACAACACATCCTAGCACTTATTTATAGGGTGTCATGTATTGTCAGCTAATTGTTTTGTGTTTATTGACTACCTTGTCTTCTTAATAAGACTATGAACTAGTTGCCTGCAGTTGAATCAAAATTACTTTGCGTTCCTAAAATACCTTAAGAAAGGATAGAAATATGTAATTTTTTGGCAAGGACTTGGTAATGGTGAACTCTAGATTTCTGGATACATCACCTATCACACTCTGCATCTCTCCTGCCGAGCTCCAGATTCTTTGAAGTCAGGTAGCTACTGTGATTTTCATTTATATCTTTAAAAATAAAAGCCCAGATAAAATTGTTTTTAGAAAGAAAGAATGGTGCTATTAGGCCTTTCTGTGCTCATGAATCAAGTGTAAAGACTCCAAATCCATTACAAGCTCCAAAGTCCACCCCTTGTCTTCTCAGAGTAGAAAAACACCATGACAACTTTTAATTTTTTTAAAAAAAAATTAAGATTTATTGGCATGTTTAAGAACTGTCTGTGTTCTACAGACATAATTTCAAATCAGGAACAGAATGACAGAACTCCTGGTTTCCTACAAGAGAACAACAAAAAACAAATACAAAAATAGTTCTGCTAAAAGAAATGCAAGTTAAAAGATCACTCCACTGATAGGGACATACACATTCATAAGAAGAAAGAGTCCATGCTATGTCTAAATACTGCCCTGCTGAGTGAAAGGGATTAACATTTAAAACCAACCTTCATCATCTTATGGTCACATCTCAATCTATACCAGCTGACCCCGAGAAAGGGACATTTAACTGCTCAACTTTGAGAGAAGAACAATTAGCACTGAGCCAGAAGAAAGGCATCTTTTTAGTACCTCATATTTATTATATGAGACCTAGAGACCTTGATAAAGTTGAGGCCCTTTTCCACAAACCTCACCCCTACACCCGTCCCGACACACACACGCACATCTCTTCATTAACACTGATGTAACTTACTTATATTAATATCCTGGAAAGAGGTAGAAACATCGTGTCAAAGTCACTCTTTCAGCAGTAGGCATCTGTGCCCTCCCATCTGGTGACTCAAATGAAAATCGAACCTAAAGAGAAAAGAGAGTGTGCCTTTTTTTTTTTCCTGAGTGGAAGAATCTTCACTTCAGACTCAAAAATTACAAAAGTAGAGTAAAATAAATTATAAAAACAAAAAGTTGTGCACCTGTAAGAATTATAGTAATATACATATCCAAGCATGGAATGACCAGACTATTTAAATCTGTTGCTGAACCTAGTAGCTATGGACACAGGCAAATTGGAGAGCATTTGTTTGTCTACTTAAAGCTAGAGTGGAGTTAAAGTAAATTATTATTTTCTAGGGGTTGATTTCTAGATCAGAGCAGATTAGATGTGGCTTTCAGGTTTGCTGACTCGTGAAAGAACCTCAAAGCTCATTTGGAAAGAAGGGCATTTGTGAAAGATAAGCATGCCAAGAGTTTCCCTAGGTTTCCAACTGGGATAGTCAAATATCCTGGGAAACAGAGTATGAGAAACATCTAGAGCCTTACCTTTCGGAAAATTTCCTCAATGTCGCAGGAACAGGCATGTTCTTGCAACTTTTCAATGAGTTTAATAATAAAAAGAGAGCCCCGTTTGGGATGTCTCCAAGAAATATTATCTGTGAATAAAGCACATTGCAAATATCATGCAAAACTCTTGCCTGGCCATGAAGACAGAATGCTAGGATTTCCACTCCGACTGAGGAAGCCTGTTGAGTTCATGCTATTTTCTGTACACTATTTGCCATTATTTAGTGACTATATTCAACGTTCAGTGAGTATATTTTTACTGATACTCCACAATGTTTAATGTCATATGAAGGATGCTATATATGGTGCAGATGTAAGGTTGGCAAAGCCTGTGAGTTCAAGAATCTGCAAATTAGTAGACAGGGAAGGAAAAGCACAGTGGGGTAGAGGGAAGTGATTGGGCCTCAGGGAAGAAATACCTGCGTGTGAATCCCAAGAGTGTTATTCGCTGACTCTAATTTCAGTTACTTACACACTCTGTAATGCAATGGCCTTGACCACAAAGGGTAGTTTGGATAAAGCTTTCTGCCATAAAAATATATTTAAAGATTAAATATAATATAAGTATCTTAGAGAATATAGGATATGTTATATCTAGTTTATGTAGGGTAATTTTATTAATAACATTTTAAATATCTACCTTGTAAATAATCTAATTAAAATCAAATGATATTGATCATAAGGTAGTTGTATAAAGAAAATGTTAACTAAATATAAAAATAGTACCAATATAAAAGATACAAACCTGAAAAAAGTTTCAGAGGGAAAGATCATATTCTACTGGAAGTCAAAACAGCCTTATGAAAAAGAAATGTTGAAGAATGATATTAATTATATAAACAGTGGAGACACCGAAATCATGGAGCCACTTTAAAATTTTGCAAAGAAATATATAAGAGCAAAGCGATAGCTATGTTCATAACCATGAACACAAGCTTTAACAAAACCTTTTAGCCAATAATAATGGTAATAAAATATATAATAATAATAGGTTACAATTCTATTTAAAGCCACAAGTATTTTAGGAAGCGGGTTCCAGTTAAAAGAAGGGGATAAGAGAGAGGGTGAAGGCAGAAATCTCCATAAGTTCTTTGTGAAATTAAGGGAGTAAATGGTTATGTGTTTTCAGGAGAACAACACAGTGTAGTAGTGATTAATACCAGAAAATGTGAAGCTAAGTTTACTAGTGGAAGATAACTAGCTGGAGATAACAGAGTTGCAGTATTTAAGTCTCATCGGCAATGGAGGGGTGAGGAAAGTAAAAGAAAAGGAGAAAGAACTCAGCAAGATTGACATTGGGAAATCAGGGGGTCTATAAATGACTATATAGCCAGAGGTAAATCTTTTGTGGAATGCTGGAATCAAAGGATTTTAAAGAAATGTTATATCTAATACTTAAGTCTGCTAAATACGCACAAACTGAAAATCTGTGGGACTTTTTGCCTAGTGTCACTGTTTTCGATTTCTGAAAAAAATAATTGATTTCTACATTAAGACATGGTCAACACAATGCAGAACCAAGTTATCTTCTGAGAGGTGGTACCTCATTACAGAAAATAATAGAGTTTTTAAATTAAACTACTTGAACAGAGGCAAAGGTAATAAATACCTTACCTTAAGGTCATAGGTAATCAAAAAATGTGAATGCCCATGAAATTTCAAAACATAGTAGGTAAAAGAATTCAAATGACTTTCATTTAAACCTTGAGACAGAAGGTAACTGAAGATAGAAACCTTGAGTTAAGTTACAAATGAAAACATCTTTAATAATAGGCATTACTTTATGTGTGATTTACTCTGTATCATTCTTAGTATTTCACATATTCATTCAATCCTTAGAACAATGATACTTGTATATGCATATATCAGTGAGGGATTCAAACAAATCCCAGAGAGGCTGAACAACTAGAACGATTTACAAAATATTAAATAGCAGATCAGAATGTAATTGGCAGTATTCTTAATCCATAGCCTAGATTTAGAAATCATTAGTTTTTTTTCCTTTTTATCCACTCTATATTTCTGGTTGAAAACAATTTAACTGAGAGACTTAATATGCCTCGCCTACTTTTCCAGCTCTCCCTGCCCCTATAATCACTACTTTCCTGTAAATACATGATGCTGTCTAGGCAAAATGAACTGCTGGTTGACCCCAACGTTGTGACCCTTTCCTATGTGGAGTCTAATTCTAATTTACTTCAGTGTAGATACTTCTATTGATCCCTAACAGTTCCAGGAAACTATTTTTGTACCACGAGAGATTACTAGTTACTAATTTAGTGAAAATATATACACATCTGATCTCTGTGGAGAAGGGTGATTGAAGGTTTAAACGGGGAGGACTGCTTCAGTTGTTCTTCAGAAATCTTATGGGAACTTCAACAGCTCTCCATGTTCTATGAAGTGTTTGTGAATTTCTGTACTGGTAGCACCCACAAAGGTGTCCGACATAGGCATGCATTACCTGGCGTTGAAGAACAGAAAGCAATAAAATCCTTCTCTATATGGGCTTTCTTAATGGCATCATATTCTAAATCTCCTGGAGCCAACGAGGAGCTGCTTCCAGAGCCTCTTATGGAATCTTTTAACCACACCACCCCTTCATTCTCTAGAAAGACAAGATTTTGTATCTTGTTACCACCAACAGCCGAGAGAATTACTTTCTCCCTTAAAACTTTATTCAACCATATTTACTAATTGATTTGTGGCTATCTTTCATTCATATGCATATACACACATACATCCCAGGAAGTATCTTTTTAACAACTTTTATTTCTACTAACCCTTAAATGAATTATAATGATGTTGAAATAGCAAAGTCTTTAGACTAAAAGTGGTATTTCTTTAGTTGAAAATGGAATAACTATCTACCAACCATTCATACAACTCAAAGAAACTACAATTTTGTTTGGTGACAGTAGGTGTTCTTTGACATTATGAAGCAGACAAAAAAAAAAAAAAAAGTATGCAAATGATGAGGTCAGTACTTGTATATCTTGTGTTCTAACAGACATCAGAACTCACCACCACGGCAGGCCTGGATAATGATCACCTTGGGTTTGTCCTTCAAACTTGGACAGTTCCAAGTGTTCAGAGTTTGAAAGATGGTGTTGATGTCTAATACATCTGAGACTTCCTCAGAGTGTTCCTTCCCACAAATGCCTTCTCGAATACCGTGAGACATGAATACCAGGAAAGTACTGTCAGAGGTCTTGTGCTCTTTGCGGGCAGCAAATGCCTTCAGCTCTGCAGTCATGTCCTGGAAGAGACCAATCCATTAAATTTGGACTGGATTTATTATCATGGCACCCTGGGAATTCAATACAATGACACATAAGGAGATACAAAAGAAAATTTAAGTTTCAATTCAAAGGAAAGTGATATAGGATTATAGAATGTCATTCAGGAATTTCTAGTAGAGAGAAAGGGTATTGTTGCTTTAATAAAACAATTTCCAAATACAAGTTTCACTGGACTCTTGCTGAAAGACTCTATGTTGGAAAGGGTTATTGTCGCATTAAGCACCCTCTAAGGAAATATTTAAAATTTAGACTATCTAAGATTAAGTTTCTGGTGCTACAACCAAAAATTCTTCAGAAATATGAAGTGTGTAATTATTGTCCCCACATTCTGGAAGACTTACCAAAGCAGTGAGATTTTCTTTTACATCCACAGTGTATCCCAGATCTTCTAGCAGCATCTTCATACCTCTGACATCAGCATCAGCCCCAGTTCTCCTGGAAAGCTGGTCAAATTCTGTGTTGCAGATAATGAGGGCAAGACGAGTGCGAGTGGACTTTTCCATTATTGGGTAAACCTGTAGCAAATGCAAATTGCTTAAATGGCCTCATTCTTTTTAATTAAATATTCATCGTGAGGGTTTAAGACCGTTTCTCCTTCTCTAGTCCTATCCAGAAACAAAATCTCATGAACCATAGATAAAATCAGGTAGGACAAATGAATCTTACTGTAGAAGTCAGAATAGAGTTTACAAATGCCCGGATGACAACTGGCCATTTGATTTAATTGATTTTGAGAGTTAGAATTATGAGAGAAGAACAGACTTTGAAGCAAGAATGACAGAATTTTAAGCCTAACTCCTCAGCTTACTGATTTTGCCAAAATATCTTATAATCCATGCCGCAGTTTCCTGATCTATAAAATGGACTATTTTAAGAGTTCAAGGTGTCATTATATGTATCATGCTTAGAACAGTATCTGCTTTATATTAAGCATTCAATGAGTACCATTGTTGTTGATATAATTTTTTACTCAAAGAGTTGTATTAGACTTGGAACTCAATACATAAGGTAGGGGCTCTAGAAGCTAAGAATCCTTTATGTAAAGAAAGCAGCAGGATAATTTTCTAGAACCTCTCAAGAAAATTGGCCTTAAGAATATTCCACTGCCCTTGCAAATGGTCTCCAGAGTTTCTTTCACCCAGATTCTGTGTTCTGTGCACAGCACCTCTGCTGACTTTTCTTTCCATATCCTTTCGGCTATTTCTTGGGAGCAAAGCTTGAGGCCCCCTTCTGGTCCTGAAAGTGCAAGCTCAGCTGGATTGTCTTGCATTGCCCGGAGAGCTGCAACAGACAAGAAGCATTGTGAATAAGGACATCCATGTGTGTCCCGCTAGGTGCTCCTCAGACCATGGTCTGTGTATGAAGCAACAGAGGAGGAAGTGAATCCTCAGAAGATCAACCCTGGGCTCGTTGTTAACACTGTTGAGTGGGTCACTGCTATTAAAATACATCCTAAACCAGAGGAGAGTTCCCATGGCATGCTGCAAGAATCTACCTTTATTTCTTAAGATCAGCATTTTTACAAATATTTTAGATTAAAGAACATAGAGAGAGAATTTTTCAAGGCCATCCATGATAGAAAACAATAAACATGTTAGATAAAATAGTTAGATATATATTTATTTCAAATGATTTAAAGTTGAGAATAAAATTTAATGGAGGTAGAGCTTAATTACTCAATTTCACTGTTTTAAAATATATATGTGTTTGTTTATTTATTTACTTACTTAATAGACATGAGAGTGGGCATTAGAGGTGAAGGAAGAAAGGAAGGGAGAAGGTGAAGTAAGCAGGGGGAGGCAATGAAGAAAAGACAGAGGAAGGAAGAAAGAAAAAAGGAAGGAAGGAAGGAAGGAAGGAAGGAAGGAAGGAAGGAAGGAAGGAAGGAAGGAAGGAAGGGAGGAAGGAAGAGCTTTTGTCCTGTCCTCCATAACCTCTCTACTATGTGTACATTTGAAAAGGAAGATGAGGAATATTGAATATATTAACTAGAATGACTATTAAATAAAATGATAAATGCTAAAATCAAGATGTATACTAGATGGGTTCATAGCACTAAACATTAATTACACAAATATATGAGGAAGAGTTTTCATAATGTTTTATATGAGTAAAGCCTTTAGGGTTATTTTATTACAAGTTTAACAGCATCTAACTGTGATGTACTTGCTAAAGAAGTAACATAATGTCTGTTTCAAAGTAAATGTTTTCTCAATATTTTGGAATATCAGAACCTAAACTATTCAAACAAGAAAGTTATATTTAATTTTGAAGGGAAATTTGAAAAAAAAATTACAGTACATTCATTTAGGTAAACCAAGGCAACATAAAATGTGTTTACTGTGGATAAAGTAAAAGATAATAAGAATGAATATATCAGAGAAAATGATAAAAATCATTATTAGGTGGATAAAATATTCTATTTCTTCATACAGGAATCTGGAGAAAAATGGAAAATATTAAAGATTAATATTTGGATTATATTAAAGCTAATTATTTTAGTAAAGGAATAGAGCATTTGTTTATATAGTGAGTGTCTCATCCCATAAAATATCTAAAAAAACAAACAAACAAACAAACAAACAAAAACACACGCATGGGATAACCCCCCTTAATAAATTTAATAGTTTACAACAGTCATTTCTAAATTTGGTGAAATATTTGCTTCTGTAGTCTCTAAATTTCTTCTGAATATAAGATCTTTTTACTTTAAGAAAAAAGTATCACTTTCGGATGAAATAATATAAGAACCATGGGTGAAATACTGTTCCAGGACAAATAAAACACTGGTTATTTAGTAAGCAAGCAACTGGAGTCATACACAAATGTTTGCTAATAAGGAATCTACTACATATTAATCTTGTCAAGACTCAATAAAGCGGAAACCATTTTTTGCAGGGTACAGGACTGAAGCATTTTAAGATCTTTGTCATCTTGGACTTGGGATCTTCTTGTGCCACCCTCAATACTGCGTGAAATGAAACATTCCGCGTCTCAGTTTCTGTGGCAGAGGCTGGCTAGCTGTTCACCAAAGCACTGTCTTCTTCCAGGGGGCACAGCTGTCTGTGCTGCCGACCACTCTAGCAGTTAGGCTGCTGACCACTCTAGCAGTTAGGTGGGCCATGCCCCGGAGCTCTGGACAACAGAATGCAGGCAGAATTATGGTGTGACACCTCCAGGCGACTTCTAGCAACATCTCTCACACATGATTTTCCATTTTTCTTCCAATGCTGTTAACTGGGTAGTTGTGACCAGAGTTGTCTTGGCATCCGTCTAGGCACCTATGTTAGCACTTGGCGGCGAGATGCCTGCTGATGAAGGATGCTCGCTTACGGAGGAGACATAAGCTTCTATCATATCTGGTCCATTAGAAGTGTTGAATTTTTCTTGAAGTGTTTGTATTACCTTAACTGATACGGGTGTGTGTAGCGGTATAGCCACCCCTAATTTTTTGGCTAGCTTTAATTTTGTGGTGGAGATGCTATATATATACTCATTCATAACTTGTGTATAAGAGCAGGAACTTTGTCTTGTTTATTACTCTCTAAACAGTCTACAGAACAAGGTCTGTAACACAGTTGGCATGTGCTAAATATTTTTCTAATGGCCTAGAAAATAATAGAAATTTTGATGAAATTATTTAATAAAATAGTATTTTAACAAATATCCATTGCATGCACACTGTGAGTCAACTACAGTTAAATGGGATCATAACTATGAATAAGTCAAACATGTCCAATTTCCTCATAAAGCTTTAAAGCCCGGGAGGGACAATGGAGAATTTATTTTTAAAAATATAAGAAAAATATAATAAAATGTATGGTTAGAGAATCATAGGGAATTGTGGGAACAGGGGCTCTGAAGTACAGTAATAGAAATAAAAGTGGCTAGACAGATCTGGATTTGAGAGAGGAATCAATGAAACTTGGCCAGAGATGGAATGGAATGATGGAAGTAGGTGAGAAGAAAGAACTGAAAAGTGAATTTCAGGTTTCTAGTTTGAATAACTTGGTGATGGTGGCATCATAACCAAGACAGAGAAAACTGGGAGAGAAGCAAGGTATGGGGGAAAATGGATGGCAAGTTCAACTCTGGACGTGTATAGAAAAGGGGGTCTGTCGGGCATGTGAGTGGATATGTTCAGTAGGCGCTGTAAGAACGAAGTGAGGCATTCAAGTGGGTAGACAGAATTTGAAACACAGATTCAGAATTTGTTAGTATAAACATGGTACTGAAACTGCAGAAATGATTTCTGCTAAAGCAGAATAGATTAAAAACAGCAAAAAGCGTAAGATCAATTCAGGAGAATCACCCACTGCCCCCTCACTCCGCGTGTATCCCAGGAATCTGGTCAATGTCAAGGGAGATTGGGTTCAAGATGTTCTTGCTTTGCACATACCATTGGCTTCGATGGGACGAATCTCTGCTTCGGAGTCTTTTGTTTTACGACAATTTTCTGATTGTGCACCTGAGGAAAGATAAAGACTGTGAAATAGTCACTCACCCCTGAAGGATCTAGCCCCAATATGTTAGAAATTCCCTATTGAAAATAACTTCCACAAGAGTGTCTGCAAGTGAATCCCTTGATTTTTGCTTTCGATGATGAAAGTGGAATTGAGAGTCTATCAGTTAGAGAATCAAGAATTCTCTTAATGTGCATGTTTCAAGGTGGTTCTTGAGGTGACGACCACTGTATAACATGTATGTGCAAAGTGAAATTGTCTAACTCAGAGCTGACCTGGACTTTAGAGAAAACTAAAAAGAAAAGGCTTGGATACTCACCCTTGCCAAGATTTATCCCAGTGGAAAATGATGATGAAGTGAGTCACTTGTCTACCTTCAACCTGTGTTATTTTCTAAATGTCATAGAAGAGGAAAGTGGGGGAGCTGGGCTACAAACACAGAGCTGTCCTGCTTCTCAACTGGGGCGCTTGTGCGCTAAACTACTCTGCCAGCCCACAGAAAGCAGGAGAGGGTTATGGGTGTGACAGGGGCCCAGACCACAGTCTGTAATCTGCACCTGCCCTACTCAGTGGCACACTCTGATGATAAAAACACTGAAAGCCTCAGTTATGCTATTTGGTTGCATGAAACCACTCAAACTATTCATGTATTCTCTGAGGTCATGATTCATTATAATCGTCAATTTCAAAGACAAGAATTCAATGTAAAGTTCAAGTTTTTATAGGGATTTCGGTAGAACAATATGCACCTGAGAAGCTGATTCCAGAAACTTTAAGAATTCCCATGAACTAATAAAGGTGAAAAACCCTGAGATTTCCATAGACAAAACGTGGTCCATTTCCCTGCTCTAAATGAGGGACAGCCATAGACTGGCCCACAAAAGGTTGAGCCGGCAACAGATGGCACCTTGTCCCATCTTTTACATCTAGAATGCTGGACTAAATTAACCATCAACAAATTCAAGAACATTTTCTGAAGGAGGCCTTGTTATGGCAGTGTGTACATGCCAAGAACTTTCCTTTAAAAAGATCTCTCCCATTAGTCATTCAAATAGGACATCTAATACCTAATTCTGTGGTCCTGGACAGTTGACAAGTAGATGAGGAAGAGACAAAGCCCTGACCACCCTGACAAGCCGCGAGGCTGACCCCAGGTGTTCGTGTTGTTCAGTGGGTTGTCTGACTGCCTCTGGAACTCCAGGACTGCGGACCGAAAGGAATGGGGCAAGGAAGAAGACTCTTGGGCTACTACACAATTATTCCGAACCAATTGTTACTTGTCTTTAGTGTGTGTGTGTTTGTGTGTGTGTGTGTGTGTGTGTGTGTGTGTGTGTGTGTGGCAGGGGAGAAGTCAGGGAGTGTTAAATGAAAGAAAAAAGAAGCATTAAAAGAAAAACAAGAAATGGCTTGCAGATGAACTTTGCTTTGTCAGTAAGACAGGCATAGACTTCCTTCCCCAAGTCACAAGAGAAAAAGGCCCCTTGCTTTCAAAGAACAACTTTTTCGTCTGATTGCATTTGGGAAGCATGGACGAGACCAGTGGCTGGGAGTCGACCCAAGCTCACATCGTTGCTGTGTGGAGGGACTAAGGGACTTCAGAGAGAAGGGCAGGTCAGATGCCTGAGTCCTGGACCGGGTCCTCAGAGAGGTGGGAGGTGGAGAGTGGGCCCCACACTGGGGTACACAGCCCATTTCTAAGCTAGCAGATGTCAGTCAAAAAAAAAAAAGCAACAGGGCAATTAGAAGAGCTCACATTTCAAATCCTAGCTTTTCTTAAGCACTGAATTTATTCTCTGAGTGCTTTATCATCATTGAAATATGTTTTATGTCTCCTGGTGAGCAAAATTTAGGAGAGAAATTGTAAAAAGTACTTAATTATAGACCTTAAGTCTCATGGCAAATAACTATAAAAGTTTATGGGGACCCCTAGACTTCACTACCTAACTGATAATTAACTAACTAACTAAATCATGTGCCTTGCCAGGAGGACTTGAGAATACAGTAGGAAGCTTATCAGACTGTTCTCATAAACTTCAACAACTGAGTTACCACGTATTCAAGATGGGAAATGAATTTTAGTCCAAAGAACAACACTGAGGCTAAAGGAATAAGAATGAAGAATAAAGAGACGGGGACATACAATAGTGCCATTGATTTCAGACATGAAGACTTGTCTGCAAACTAACATGGCCCATGAAAAAATCAGATGTGGATCCGAAGACACAGGGCTCATGTGAACTTGAGTCTGGACTGTTGATTTACCTGAGGACAGCCCCAGCTTCTCTGCAAGGTGGGAGTCGTCTTCACAAATATGACCAATACATATCTGGCTTGCCCGGGGCCCTTTCCGAATGACAAAGTCAATCAGAGCTCGGGCCTTATCCATAACTGTGGCATTTTCATTTCTTACTTTCTCCATCTCCTCTTGGTTCAGCACTCTTTCCTGTAGTAGTTCATCCAACAAGCCATTTACTGTGCCCGGGCTCACTGACTGGATAAACACCCTCCTCTTCTCCTTCAGGACCAGGTCTGTTTGAAGCACAAGGATTCCTCACGTTACTAAAGCAGCGTCATTTCCTTCTCAAGTCAGTAACAGGAAATAGACTCCTTTAGATTTAATCCATAAAATGTCCCCCCCACACACTTGTCGTCCTGAGATCCCCACATCTCCTGTTCTGTCCTCAGTACTACCCATGTGTGCTCACTGAATGGCCAGAAGTCTGAGAATTACTGTCTCTAAGTTACTGCCCCAAATCAGAGACCATCCTGACAATGACTAATTTTTGTTCAATTTTGCATAATAAAGAATGAAATAGGCATAGCCATTTCCCTTGGGGACAACAGCTGCTGGCACCCACTCATACCGACCTTGCACTGTCTGTCAGATAATCTGGTTAAGTTTGCGCAAGGACTGCAAAATACCAGTGAGGCCCAGTTCCTTTCTGGCCCTTGCTGCTCCTTTCTGGAAACTGTGAAAGTCTTTGGGCCCTTTTCTACCCTCCTTTCTTCCTTCTCCCCCAGTCTGTTCACCTAAACGTTCATACAACCTAATTATGGCTTCCCCCAAAGCCAGCCACTTTCAAAAATTTTCCACCAAGACATATCCTTTGACAGTAATAAACAAAACAAAACAAAACAGGAAACCAAAAACTCACCGGCCATGGCTTTTCTCGCTTTGCTTTTGAGCTCGATTTGAAACTGAAAACATGTTCCACCTTCCTTCACAGTAGGGCGTGTACACATATTAGGAAATACCAACTGTTTGTTCACGGGCACGCCTTTAGTTTTTCTCCAAAGTAATAACCAGTTTGCCCAGCCCTAGAGTGCATCAGGGTGTATATCTTGGGAAATCACCAGCACTTAGATCAGGTTGGTGTCGGACGGGAGTGGAGTCCAGAGAATAAGAAAGTATGCATACAATTAAACGCACACAATAATGAATCCCTCATTCATTAGGAAGTATGATCTAAGGTGGCTGAGTCCATTCGTGGCACGGTAACAACATGCCACAGACGGGGTGGATATAAACACGAGAAATCTGTTTCCCACAGTTCTGCAGTCTGAAAGTGCAAGGTCAGGGTGCCAGCACGGTTGGCTTGTGGGGAAGGCCCTTCTCTGGGTGGAGGACCGCTAACTCCTCACCATGTCCTCACATGGCAGGAAGGGTGATGGATCTCTCGGAAGTCTCTGGTAAGAGCTTGGTCCCATTCATGAAGCTTCTATCCTCGTGGGCAATTCAACTGCCAAAGGCCTCAAATGCTAACACTGTCACCTTGGACATTAGGTTTCCAACATGTAAGTCCTAGAAGGACACATACATTCACTCTGTAGCATTTGGAGAAGTTGAACCACTGTGACCCATGCCCCACCCTGCAGGGCTGGTCCATGTCCTAGGAAGGGCGTTTCTGAGAGTCAGTTCTGCTGTTAGGCAGGGAAATTTTTTTTTTTTTTTTTTGGTCCATGCCCCTAGTGGGAACCAAACCCAGGACTCTCTGGTCCACAGGCCAACTCTCTAACTGCTGAGCCGAGCCATCCAGGGCAGGAAAAATATACATTTTTACCAGAATCAATTTTTTTTTTTTTTTAATCCTCACCCGAGGATATTTTTCCATTTTTTGTACAGATAGAGTGGGAGGGAGAGAGAGGAAGGGAGAGAGAGAGAGAAATATCGACGTGAAGGGATACACGTCGCACGACCAACCAGGGCCGGGGACAAACTGCAACCGAAGTACGTGCCCTTAGCCGGAACCAAACCCGGGTCTCTCTGGACCGCAGGCCGATGCTCTAACCGCTGAGCCAAACTGGCCAGGGCTCAAATATTTTTTTTATCTAACACGTTTTCTTTTCAGATAGCTCTGTTTTGTGGGATACTGTAAAGCCTGATGACTCCGGCTCTGGACTCAGAATATCTGATTAACATTTGAACCGTCCTTGCTTGGGGAGGTATTGAACTTTCCTGTGCTTCAGTCCTCTATTTGTAACACAAGGTAATTAACAGTACACACGAAACACCTTCGAGCATTGCGTGAGTGGAAGTCTGGAAACTGCATAGAACATTGCCTGGCACATGGTGAGCATACAACAGTTTAATTTAAACTTTTCTAAGAAAAAAATGAAATAGCCAAGGTTTGTTATTTGCAGATCATCTAGCCAAATGTCTCTTCTGTGAGAATCTGTGCATCTTATTCATTCATTCACTCAGCAAACGCAGATGGATGATCTAATCCATGTTGGACATGATTCTAGGCTGCAGGGGTTCAGTCAAAACAGACAGTGGTCTCCCGCCCTCATGGCTGCACATTCAAGGAGAGAAGACAAACATGAAACCCAGTGTGTAACTGGGATAATGGTAGGATGGGTTAAGTGCTAATGAGAAAAAACAAATTAAGAAGTGGTTTATGAAATACTGGAGATGTTAAAACTGAAGGCAGAGGAGTCATTGCTGTTCATAAGCACCTGTTCAACTGCATGTCCCAGAATAAATATGACATAAACAATTTAATTTATACATATGGTTGATGGAAGATGAACTTGTACCAAAATGCCTATTAGTCTTTCAAAGTTATCCATTTACTACAGATACTTTGTTTCTTAAGAGAATGACAACCCAGAGTTACTAGAACATTCTGTGTGTGTGTGCATACATGCAGAAAATATCTAAATTAAATATTAATAGCTGTATTACCATTGTTTTAAAACTCTATACTATTAAAAGCAAACCTACATTTTGACATGTGGACCACAAGTTTCTTGCTGTGGTCTAAGCTATGTGTTAAATTTATTTTTTAATTAGAATAAAATTCACTGTGTAGATTTTAATCTAAGGGTTTTCTAAGGGTGATTATATTTTTATTTTGCTCCTTACACCACCAAGTTTGCAATACAATCTTGTGCTCCTTGCCTCAGGGAGACTTGTTGCAGGGAAGAAAGCAGAAATTGCATGTATATCACCTCCCTCATATATTTATATATATCCATTTATTTCTGAAATGCCTTAAGAATTTCAAATGATGGTTTCTCTACAAGGCAGGGCACACACCACTGAGCTGAACCATGCTGAGGTGGCATTTGAGCCACAGAAAGGATGGCCAGGCAGTATGCCTGGGGGTGTAGAACCGTAGCATTGACCTTGGGAAGTTGAGTAGAGAACCACGACATTGCAAGGGCCCAGTGTGTCCTCAAAAAGAAAGATGCTAAAAACTGGAAACATTCCAAATACCTATTATAGGTGCATGTATGAGGAATCAAACTGTGCTAAATACATACACTGGGATACTACTGAGTAACTAAAAGGAGCAAATTACTGATACATGTAGTAACCTTGATGAAGACATTATGGTTGTATTATGAGTGAAAGAAGCCATATACAGTAGAATACATACCCTATCATTCCAATTATATAAAGTTCTAGAATAGACTAAGCTAATGTGTTTTGATAGAAATCAGGTCACTATTTCCCAGAGGAGAAGGTGGAGAGGTAGCAGGTGCAAAGGGCATAAAGGGACATTCTGGGTTGATGGAATTATTCTGCTTCTTGTTGTTATTTTGCATCATACACTTATCAAAGTAATTGGATCATATTATTAAAAGGAGTACATTTTATGTTATGTAAATTATACCTCAATGATGTTAAATGGCAGAAACTAAAATAAATGGTTTTAATGATAAACTGGATTGGAAAAGATTTTCTGTCTTTGTTTTTATGAATATACTCAAGCCTCAACAAATCTTTTCAAATTCTGGTAAGAGAAAAAGTTTTTTGTGGGGACTAAAATGGAATTTACTACAGCTAAATGGAGATTTAAAGACAGAATGAAAATACATTTTAGAAATGATAAATTTATCAACTGAGATACTTACCTAGAAATAGAATTAGATAGATAGAGTATTACATGGGTTAAATTATAAAATTAATGGAGCAGTCTAATTACAAGTAGTGTTTCATTTTATTTTTTTATTAATTTTTTTTCTTTATTGACTTTTAGAGAGACAGGAAAGGAGAGAGAGAGAGAGATAGGAAAACAGATGAGAGAGAACATCGATTGGTCGCCTCCTGCATGCCCCCCACTGGGGATCTGGCCCAGACCTGGGCATTTGTCCTGACCAGAATTGAACCTGCAACCTCTTGGTGCATCATGGGTTGATGCTCAACCCATCAGCCACAACAACCAGGCTAATTACAAGTAGTGTTTCAAAGGAAGCATACAGATTTAAATGCTTTCTGTGGTAGCCTGTACAACAAAATCTTTTTTAATAACTCTAGGTTGTATGATAAGCTCTTGCATAGAAGACGGAAGACTCCTGTGTTTATGATCTGGTTGTGCCATTTTCAACCCTTAGAAAGTCCCTTATACTCTCAGCTTAATTTATCTTTTATTCTTTGTTATTTTAGGGCTCTTAGGACATTGTGATTAGTACATCTTAGTAAGAGCACTAACCATCACATATTATTTTATATTATTTTTGTCTCAAACCTTCTCTTTTGTACAGTTTATTAACATGGACTTTGAGATCCAATAGCCCCAGGATCAACTTCCACTCATTATCTGAGGATCTTGGACAATTTACTTAACGTCTCTGTGCATCTGTTTTCCCATCTGTATATGTGTTTGTAGGTCGCGGGGAGATTCGTAGTTGTTCTTCCTTTCTAGCATGAAATGGTTGGGTGAAGACCATGCCACAGGGCCTTCTGTTTACAGTAGTCATGAGCCATATTTCAGAAGCAAGTAATGTTAAAATGTGTTTCTAAATTACCGGTCATGACAACTGTGTAAGTTTCATTTTATGAATAAGAATATCAGGTTAAAAAAAAAAAAGTGTTGGCAAAATAAAACAGAAACTTGGCAAACACAAACTGCAGAATCTGGGTTAGAAGTGTGCTTTCCTCATTCAATACAGTCATGCTCCAAGAGGGACATTTCGGTTAACGATGAACTACATGTATGACAATGGTCCCATTTTATTATAATGGAGCTGAATGTTCTTTAAGGAACGAAAAGTATGTGGCACAGAGGGACTTTTTTATTTTTAAATTAGAGTTTATGTACAAATCTGTATTAGTTTCAGGTGTACATCACCACAATTAGACATTTATGTAACTTGGGAAGTGATCACTCTGATAAATCTGGTATCCATCTGACACCATACATAGTTATCAATAGTATTGACTATATCCCTGTGCTGTACTTTACATCCCAGTGACTATTCTGTAACTACCCGTTGTACTTCTAAATCCCTTCATCTTCTTTACTTATTCCCCCGACCCCGCTCCCATCTGGCAACCGTCAAGGTGTTATCTGTACCTGAGTCATTTTCTATTCTGCTTGTTCATTTGTTTTGTTTTTTAGATACCACATATGTGAAAACTTGTGGCATTTGCCTTTCTCCGTCTGACATATTTCATTTAGCATAATACCCTCTCCCTCCAGGTCCATCTATCTTGTCACAAATGGAAAGATTTTATTCTCTTATTATGGCTGCAACATTTTCCATTTTATATATTCACCACTTCTTTATCCATTTATCTATTGCTGGACCCTTAGGTTGCTTCTATATCTTGGTTATTATAAATAATGCTACAATAATATATGGATGTATATGTCTCTGATTTAGTGTTTTGGGCTTCTTTGGGTAAATATCCAGAAAAGAATTGCTAGGTCTTTCTTTGTCTCCTGTTACAGCCTTTGTTTTAAAGTTCATTTTGTGTGGT